TAATTATACGTCGTTAACCTATTTGTGCTACATTCATCCAATAGAAAGCTCAATATTAAAAAAAGAAAAGAAAAAAAAGAAGAATATTTGGTCAATAACGTTGCATCATGAAATAATATTGGCAACGAAGCAAAGCAGCATCCAAAGACTCATAAAATGGAGTCGGAAGAGTCAACTGATTAGCTACCATCACTTTTCCCCGCAGTCCTCCAGTAACACAATTAATTGTTTTTTTATTTTGTTCTTGGTTCTTCTTAGGAATCGCCTTCAAAAACATGCGATTCTGTCGAGCGTTGGTCTGATACGTTCTTTGATTCCATTTACAATCTCTGTCAGCCGGTCTCTGAATTTCTTAAGATTCAACCAGTATATAAATGGATTTGCTAAAACAACGAAGGATTTCATGAAAATAGCAATAACTGCTATTACAGAATTAAAAGAATTGGATATCGCTAACGAAACTGTAACAGTTTCAAAAATTAGGCTGACTAGTGTCAAGCTGGAAATTATAGATAAGATAAACGGCACACGACGAAAACTCATCACCGGCCAACTATTAACCCCTTTGGCTTTTCGCTGCTTTTTCTGTTCTCTTCTTCGTATCTGGCTTGCACAAAATATAGACAACTGTACACACGAAAATATAATTGACATTAGAAAAAGGAGTGTGTCGTAGATCAAAAGAACACAGACAGCTGCGTAGCCAACGAATAAAGCAGGCGATAAACACGCAGAGAAAATCCAGACGATCACACACATCACTCTCACGTCCTCCTCCACCATGGTGGATCTGTTATATGCTAGAGGATCGTAGTATGACTTCCATGTGTCCACCGCTAGAAGAAAAAGTAAGAAAAACGAAGCAAATTTTCCAACGGTGTAAACAACAATAACGACGACCAAGGTGGAAGACACTTTCGTGACGTCTACAGTTGATGCAGGGAAGGAGTACCCAGTCGCAATAATTATGAACATTGTCAATGCCATCCATGTGTCCGCAAAAGCAAGATTTATCGTCAAAATCCTCCGAGATTGTATTCTGATTTTTTTCATAGTGTGATAAACAACCACGACCAGTAGGTTTCCAACAATAGAAATAATACAGGCAATAGAAACAATGACATCAAGGAAGGACCATAGAATTCGCTCATCGTTGTCAAACTCATTCGACTTTTCATATTTGGTAGTATTATCTGTCTCTCTTATTAGACAATTAAACATACTTCTGATTTGTCTATAACAACTCCTTGGTTGTTCCAAGACGTTCTTCGAACGCTAAACAGGCCTACTCGTTCTCATGCGGAATGGATAGACACTGCTTAGATACCGTTTTCTTGTATTGTTTAGAGAATTTATAATGTGTACTAACCTTTAATCAGCGTTTATTGCTGTATCCTCGTCTGGATATCCGTAACATAAGATAAATATTTAATAATATCATGTCACGCTATAATTAATAATGTGTATACCGCATGGCAGTATAATTAAGTTTTAAGGGGAATATCGTAAACATCCTATTCATCAGAAATCTTTAATAGAATAATCGCCAAGAATATTTCACATTACCTTAAGAGTAACGATGTCCTTTCGATGTCCGGATTCCGTCCATGAGTCTAGCTACTTGCCGACACCGTCTACAGCTTGGAATTCGAAAGGCATTTATACCGGTAGTGTATGGAGAGACAGGCTAATGAAGGCTAATTTGGGTATAAGAGGTAAACTATGGATAATTATAGGTAGACTATATGATTCTTTTAAGAGTAAGGTTTGCTTTGGTTCAATTAATACCGACATTTTTTATGTAGGTACATCAAGGTGTAAGACAAGGGTGCGTTTTGTCTCTTGTACTCCTTAAAATCTTATGAATGAATTCACTAAAATTCTGAAATCAAATGATCTCGGCACAAGAATTAATGATATATGGGTTGGTAACTTATTTTGGGCGGACGATGTTGTACTATTAGCTAACAATGAAATTGAAATGAAAAGAAATGCTAGCGCTTGCCGAAAATTTTGCTAAAGAATGGAAACTGAATTTCAATTTTCAGAATTCCAATGTGCTGATTACTGGAAAACACTTGATAAAATGGAAATTGGGGGCCGGGAGGACTTTATCACAAGACACTGAATCATACAAATATCTGGGTGTAGGCCTACACATATCCCGAAAATTAAAGTTACCATATGGAAAAGGGTTTTAATAGATTAATAGGTTACAAAAAAACAAATTATTGTGCCTATTATTTTTAATGCATTGAATTCAAAGCTGGAGAGAATCGTCAATAGCAGAGCATAATTACAACCCATAGCGAGGTCAGAGCTTCAAAGTATACAGGGAAAAGACACAAATGAATAGATATTCGACATTCAACACAACACTTTGACCTGTAATCGTTTTAATTGATTTGTACAAGGATTGCATACATTAAGACTGTGATTGCTCAGTAGTGAGCAATTTTACAAACATTTGCAAGTTAACGAGTCAAATTAACAAACATCCCCAGGATATCTGACGTCTTATCTCAGCAAGTTTCAAACCAAACATTTGTTTGATATGAAATGCAAGCAAGATACCCCTTCAGTAAGTACAATGTAGACAACATTAATATTTAATTTACAGAATTTCTTTTGTTGTTACATGCCAAATTAAATACGCATTTAATTCTGATGATGAAAAAAATACACATAGAAGTAAATGTTGAAGTTACACAACACACAAGTTTACAATTGAAAAAGACAAATCAACAAAAGTTTAAATTTTACCCAAATACATGCAATAGTCTCGTTTCAACATGCAACAGTTTAAAATTATGTTGGTTAGCTCTTGCAAACCAGTTTACAGTGAGCGACCAACTTGGAAATTTTATATTTCTCTGCATCACAAATGACAACCACCTTAACTAGCAAACAAAACTGACTTTAGTAATTAAATTAACTTACTATTAAAATACACCATACATTGCATAATTTTAAGTCTTTCATTGTGATTCATTAATTGTGACTTAAAGATGTATTGTCCCTTGCTAATGTAAAAAAATCATAAAAAATGAGCTTGAGATAAACTTGCTCATTCTGCAATAACATACAATTATTAACTTGTGCATAAAAAAATGTGTACCCTGATTTTTAAACCAACAAATTATACTAAAAATAATAAAACTGGAAGTGTTTCTATCATTTTTCGCTGTAAACTGATGGGTAGACATTTTTAAAAAACACTAATTTCTATGTTCAAGTTGTTAACTTTTATGTTACTTCAAAATGGGCAAGTTAATTTAAAAAAATATTTTTATGATTTTTTTTATATTTAGCATGGGACAATACATCTTTAATTAATTGCGACCAAACCAATTGTGACCTAATAAGCTGTGAATTATACCATAACACAGTACAACATGTACATAAACACAATTAGCATCTATATATGATTAAAACTACATATTTTCTCTGAAATAAACATTCCGAAAATTACAGTTTTTTCATTTCTGTACAGTACTTTATTATTTCATATATATAACACTACACTAACTGAATATCAGTATCATGTAAATAGTTGATTTTGTGACCAAAATTTTTGTTAAAACATTTTTAAACTCTGGTCATTATGATATTAAAATAATAATCCTGAATTTACAATACAAATAATTTTATTCACATCAAACTCTTCACTCAATGTGCATGTTTTAAAAGGAAAGATAGGTGGTGGAATTTTGGTGTCATCAGTGCTTGTCGAGAGCCATTTTGTTGAGGGCGCTACCAGCTTTGAACCATTCAATCTGCGTTTCGTTCATCGAGTGGTCTAACTGAATCTCATCACTGCTTCCATCTGAATGTTTGATAACGCAGACTACAGGCTAAAAAATAAAGAAGAGTAGATATTTTTTATTTGATAATGTGAACTACAGGCTACAAAAAAATATATATATATTATCCAACACGATGTTAGAAATATCAAAATTTTTTCACTCTTGGAACATAAAGCAAATAGTACGTAAAACTAAATTATTCTCCTGAAGACGATTGAAGCAACTCAATCGAAATGCTGAGGCATCTCAGCAAACAGTTCTTTTCAGAACTATCTACATGGTGTTTTGCAAGCATTACTATATTTAAAACAAAATTATGATGCTCATTGGAGGTTAGTGCCTGCCTTTTATTCCCAGGGTCAAAGGTCAGTTTAATGACTAAAACAACACCTCTTCCTAAGATTTTTTTAAACTTTTATTGAGTGTTTTTATAAAAAAGGAGTTAGAAAAGTTTATAACATTTTTTAATCAACTTTGATTGAGTGTTTTTAATATGAGTATTTCTCACTTTTATCTGAAATTTGGTTCTATATCTTTTAGATCTCACAAAATTAACAGAGACAAAAAGTACTGATATGTCAAATTTTCCTCAAAAAATGAATACAACAACATTTAACATTTAATATCTTTTTCAAATATGTCACTACAAGGTTCAAGGTGATAAATGATGCAATAAAGATCTAGAGACATATTTTTAGTCATGATCGAAATATACTGTTTATATCGTCAAGTTTAATTAAGAATGTTCTTCATCACAATGATCTTTTATGTTCTATTCTGGTAAAAAAAAAATCCCCAAAATTTGAAAATATATATCTTTCAAGATTTTTACCAAAAATATTAATATTTTTGTATCATATTTGGTTACATCATATATTGAAATGCTAGCTATTTTTATCTGACACAACCTTATAAATTTTATAATTTTGAATCTTGTAAAAAAACAGGCTTTTGAGATTTAGGTGTAATAGCCCCAATCTAGTAATTCAATATTCTTGATTAAAATTTATGAAGGATTTCATCAAACTCTGAATTTTTAAATTGATTGCTTGCCAGATTATACTATTGGCAGGCATTTAATGTTTTCAAGGGATTGGATTTTATTTTTTAAGATTTGGAATTCAATGCTGTAATATTATTTATGGAAACTGAGGCATGTGTATTGAATTTTAAAAAATAAATAACATTTGTCATATCATATATCAGTATCAATAAAATAATGACAGTAAACCAACTTTTGAAATAGAATTATAAGTACCAGATAGTATATGCTATATGCCATAGTAATAATGTAAGTGCATAGGTCTCTACAATATGCACTCTATAAGTCAACAATTATTATTATTATTATATGCAGGTCTCCTTCCAATTAAAAACCACTTAAAAGTCTCATCTGCAGACAGTGCACTATTATAACAACCATTTCAGCCCTCTAGCTGAAACACAAGGAGAGGAAGTGATGGAAATTGAACCGGGGACCTAGAGATCTCCACAGTTTAGCGCATACACAGTGGCTACCACCGGTTTAGCCAACTGAGCTAAGCTGCTCTCTAAAAAATTCAATTACTGTATCTTATTTAAGAAAAAATTTTTTCACTAGAGAAATACCAAAGCAGATTATTATGTATGCTTAACCTATCTTTTACTTAAATTAACATCTATGATTTAAATAAGTAACGCTATGTTCTAAAGCAAGTTAAATATAAAAACTTAAAAATTAAGAGTTGCCTTAATATCTGTATGGGTGATATTAGCGGGATCAAGGGCCAGCGGTCATTAGGAAGACTAACAACATGGCAATCTGACCAATGAGCATGCACTACTGAGTAGGCATGCTCATTAGTACCAATTCCCTTCATGTAGAACATCAAATATGTAAAGCAGCTAGTTTATATACTTTTAGGATTATTCTTCTATTCCATGGTCTCTCATTTCAATTTATTTTTATTTAAAATTTATTGTGTTATATACTTTGATACTCAATGCTGCAATATTATATTAAGGAAACTGATGCACTTGTATTGAATTTTTTAAATGAATAACATTTGTCATATCATCTTATATCAGTATCAATAATATAATGACAGTATATAAATAAAATAACTTTTATATAATAAAAATTTCAGTCGGAAATAATTATCTAATAGTATATTTTTTTTTGGTCTGGAATTCAATGCTGTAATATTATGGAAGCTGGGACACTTGTCGTGAACTTTTAAATATTTTTGATTTTTTTTTTTTGGAATTCAATACTGCAATATTATTAGAAAAACTGAGGCACAGGTATAGAATTTTAAAAATGAATAACAGTTGACACATCATCATGTATCAGTATCAATAATATAATTACAGTATATAAACAAAAAGAATTAGAAGTATTTATTAGCATACATTTTAGTGGAAAATAACTGCAATTTCAGAATTATGATTTTAATTTATAATCATTACTCCATTGACTTTGTCATTTTTCTTCATGGTAATCATCACTTATTTCATTTTCTTCATTATCATCACCATAAAAATTATCATTGTTCAATCATCATTCCATCATCACTATCACCATATCACTAACATAAACCTAATCATCATTAATATCATCATTATCCATCATCATAATAATTATTATTCAGTTACAGTAATTACCATAGTTGCTGCAGTTATCGTCAGCCTTTCATTATCATCGTTGTCATAAAATCAACACCATCACAACTTTGCGAGCACCACCTCTATCAATCTAATCATTGTCATCAATATCATCATCATCCATCATTCCATTATCCGCATAATTATTGTTAAAATCACGGTCATCGCCGTCATTGTCAGCATATCATTATCATCATATCAATTCATAATCATCATTATCATCAACCTATTATTATCATTATTATTATTTTTCTAATCTTTGTATCATCATTATTTCATCAACATCATCATTGCATCAACATAATAATAATATTGTATTCAAAACTACATAAATTATTGTGAAAGATCTGTATGCAATCCTATACACTATTTAAACAAAACATTAAGGAACTGTTCAAATCCGATTAGAAACATGTTGCAAATATGTGTCCCTGTTTTGCAATTAAACGCCAGAAATCATCCTCAAAATGCAATTCGAAAACCATTAAAGAGGCACTTCATCTTGGAAACGTTCCTCATGGAGGACTATCATTGAGTCTTGGCACGCACACATAAACACTTAGAATATCATGGCTTAAACTTTCATTACGGTTAGCCTTGGATTAAAGTACATTAAAGCAATAAAATGACATTCACACAATACAGAGGCTCATATAAACATCGCTACTTGCTGACTAATCATCAACTGAAATAACAATTATGACCTACTATCCATGTCAAACTCAGCAATAAAAAGTTATAGTACAATTACAAATTTATTTTAATTGAAAAGTACTTTTGCCAGCATCATTAAGTCAAATTAAATTTGATCATTAAATTAGAAGAGAGATATAGGACGCACGAAGTGTTGCACATGTGATATGGACAGTCTACATCTGAGGACTCAAATGAGATATAAACGGATGGATTTATTCAGTGTAAACACCAAGAATAACCCACAAAAGAAGACTTATTTCTAGCGGGGTCCTTCTGGTGGTGATTGGGCAGTACGCGGGAGACCATCCCTTACTCTTTCCCGAAGAAATCTCATCTGACAGACAGTGCACTACAGTCGACCTTCCCATTTACGTACACCTTGGGCTGAAAGCAGTTCGTAATTGAGAAAATTTGTAAATGAGAAGTTCGTAAGAATAGCGCCCTCAAGCTTAAAAACGCCAAGTTGTAGCAAGGTTACTAGGCCAGCCTACCAACATCTAGGCTTAATTTTGCATTTAAGTGTTCAATAAACATTTATAGAAATCGTTGAAGAATCAATTAAATGTTAATGCAAGACAAACTAATATTAAATATCGATTCATAATAGGCTATGGAAATCGTTCCATGGATAGACCGACCTAATCTTCCATGTCACTAATACTATAGGCTGACTATATGTTACCATACATTTATACTCGAACTAGCTGATTCGATTTACAGTGCATTTAGACCGCAGGTAACCATAATACAGAGTAGGGTAGGACCTCCTGGTATAGGCTGCCCAGCCTTGCACTTAGGCTAGCCTAGACAAGGTAGGCCTAGCAGCATGCACTGCCCGCCTGAATTTCGCCTAGTTTTGATTATTTTACATTATGTATTGGTTTGACTTTTCTAAGCCTAAATTAGTATGATGTATTTATGAAATGTACTGTATAACTAGTACTATAATGCATTTTTTAATGACTTTTGTAATTCGTTTTTCTTAAAATAAATAAAACTAGCAAAAATTAGATGAATAAATCTAGCGATGACGTCATCGGCCGAACGTTCATAAAATAGAAGGTTTGTAAATGAGAAGTTCGTAAATAGGAAGGTCGACTGTATTGTGACTTGCATTTCAGCCCTCCAGCTGAAACACAAGGAGAGGCAGCGATGGGAATTGAACCGGGGACCTTAAGATCTCCACAGTTCAGCGCGCACATAGAGGCTGCCACCGGTTTAGCCAACTGACCTAAGCTGCTCTCTAAAAAATTAAATTATTTTATTTAAGAACAGGTTTTTTTTACTAGAGAAATACAAAATTATTATGTATGCTTAACCTAACTTTTACTTAAATTAACATCTATGATTTGCCCATATGCAGCCTGCCATCCCAGTATACTGTTGCTAATTATTAAACTAAGTAATTACCATAAGAATGTAACAGTATTGTATACTTTAGTGTGGAGTCACATACTTTTACTCAAAACTTTGGCAATAGTAAGTCGATTCCAGTAAATGATATATCATTTTAAAACTTATAATGTGGAGAATATGGCTATATAATAAAAGTTAATTTTCATGTTTGTTTTGTCACTCATGCTCAATTTGGCATGGCCCCCATATTGTGTAATATTACATTATCAGGCCTATATAGAATGACATATTGCAGACATTTTTATGTTTCTCTTAAAAGAAGGATAATCCACTATTATTAAAATCTGTGGCATTTGTATTAAACAATATGCTTTTTGAAATATCCAATCGCAAAATTTTCACAATCACATTGAAAAACAATCAAAATAGTATTTTAAATAAGTAACGCTATGTTCTAAAGCAAGTTAAATAAAGAGCTGCCTTAATATCTGTGTGTGATATTAGCAGGATCAAGGGCCAGAGGTCATTAGGAAGACTAACAACATGGCAATCTGATGAATGAGCATGCAACTACTGAGTAGGCATGTTCATTAGTACCAATTCCTTTCATGTAGAACATCACATATATAAAGACAGCTACTTTTTATCTATATTATTCTTCTTCCATTCTAGTACAGACCATCTGTCGGTGTATTTTCGTACTGTGGTGGTGTGCGAAGTAGGGGAAGTTTTAGAATCCAAGACATTAAAAAAAATTTATTTATTATTATTATTTTTGTATTAATTTTTTAAAATTTATTTTTAAATTAATTAATTTTTTAAATTAAAACATTAGCCCATTTTCTAGGTTCCTCTGCGAAGGGGCGCAACTCCCACTTCCCAGACTGCCTTTAAAAGTACTGAGTTATTCACTGTCGACAACATGCTGTGGAAGACTATTCCAGAGACGGATGGAGTCAGGCATGTGCGAGATACATTAACGAGACCATTTACTATCAGTCAATACGACATGAAAGTTTAATTGTATCAAATAAAAAACACCAGAGCTTCAGGAAAAACATATAAATACATTGTTCTTACCTTTCCTGGTGTCAGGTCTGCTAGTCCGAGAAGTGAGATGCGATCGTCTGAACGGATCTTGTCGTAGTCTGCTGTTTTCGAGAATGTAAGCGGTAAAAGGCCTTGTTTCTTCAAATTTGTTTCTATATAAACAAAGCAAACGGATGTTATAAATTGGATGAGTCAGAAATAAGGTGTAAATACATTTTCTACGGTTGACATGCAGGTCATTCAAAGTTAGACAAATTATAATTATACTGCTATAGTGCATAATGTAATGCAATGTAATGTAATCTATGCACTTCACAAAATAAAAGATTAAAAAATGGAATTTCATGACAGTCTGGAACAACAGAATGCAAATTATCTTAGGGGTCACCATCCGCCCCCAATCTAGTGCATTTCAGGACCCCTTCCTAGGTGACTTGAGCAAAGTAACAGGTTACGCATTTACCCTGCCACAGTCTACAGGGTGCTCAGAGACAGAGGCAATCATAAGGCCATAGAGAAAAGTGCAAGCCAGGTTTTGTCATAAAAAGAAAAGATTTTAGTGTGTTTTTGAAAATGTCTCGGCATGACAGATATCTCTGGATGGCAAAAAATAAATGACTTTGAAACTCTTCATCGTTGAAAGCGTTAATATTTTAAGTGATCCTCTATTCTTCCAAGCATTATAATTTAGGTACACAAAAATCAGTTGTGAATCAATGATGGTGGATTGTTATATTGTTTTAATAATAAAACCGAAACATTTTATCATTGGTAAAAATACATAGGGTGGATGGATAGACTCAAAACAATCAAAATATATCTACCATGGATTCTTGCAAAGCTCTTGACAATGATAGCTCGAGCCCCTAGATGCCTTGGTTCCAAAGCGGCATGCTCACGACTGCTGCCCTCGCCGTAGTTCTCATCACCGATCACACACCATCGGACATTATTGGCCTAAAGCAAGAATATAATACATTTAATCCCAAAATAACAACAATGGTGTTTGGCTGGCTCAAAGCATCACATCCTTTCATTCTGTAAAGCCCAAATTTCATTGGACAAAAAACATGTGACATGTCTAAATATGGTCATGATGACATCACATCATGACCATATATAGGCACATCATTAATATATATGGGCAAAGAAAATGTAATAGTCTGGACCAGGTTTCAGTGGGGAATGTACTGTAACATGCTTTTCAATGGAAGAGATTTAAAAAAAAAAAATTAGGCGAGATTTCAAAATTTCGCTAAACAATGTGTAAGAAAAGTCTCGCCCTATGTTAAATAAACGATTGCATTACCTTATAGTGTCTGGCAGTATCGGGAACGGCACCATATTCTCCCGTTACTTGATTCTTAACGTTGTTAGCTTCTCCGTTATCAGAATTTATTGCACTGTCGAGAAAAATGTTAAAATATTCATTATCTTTGTGTGAAAAAAATAATGTCTTCACCCAACACCCTAATACTTAATTATCAAGTTTTTTATTTTACAATATACAAGATACTAAAATTAATTTTAAAACATTTAAATTATTATACTTATTATATAATTTTGTTTCAATATGTATACAATAAAATCACAAATTTCAATCATATTTTTTTTTGGTCATTTTATGTCTCATCTATTTAACACGTTGCATCTTCGTGGGACTTACCCAATGAACATATTGTTGGATATGTTATCAAGATGACCTCTGTACTTGAGCCATGGACCCCCGGGACTCATGTGGTCTGTGTAGATAACATTGACATTATACGTAAGTTTCCTAATTACTGTATGTTTCTTTGTACTCTCACAACTACGTTTGTGATTTAAAGAGCAGCTTAGCTCAGTCGGCTAATCTGGTGGTAGTCACTGTGTGTGCGCTGAACCGTGGGGATCTCTAGGTCCCCGGTTCAATTCTCATCACTGCCTTTCCTTGTGTTTCAGCTGAAGGGCTGTTATATTAGCGCATCGTCTTTTGGATGAGACGTTTAAGCTGTTGGTCCTGTGTGCATTTATGGCAAATGTGCACGTTAAAGAACGCAGTACACCATTCGGAAAAGAGTAGGGGATTGTCTCCTGCCCAATCACCACTAGAAGGTCCCCACTGGAAATAAATCTACTTCTAGTCTTTCGTGGGCTATCTTGTTGTTTACACCAAATAAATCCAATCCAATCACCATTATTATTACCACCCACATCATTCCATCAACAAAATTACTATTAAAATCAGTATATCTTAAAAAAAAAAACTGTCTGGTTTTAATGTATAGTAGATCAGTTCCTTTGATAAAACCAAGAACCTACAGCCAGCTTGAGTGCCTGTTGAAGTTTATTATGTCACATGCTAATGAGTCAGGTAGGCTAAAAAGTTACTGTTCATTCAAACCAATTAATTGCATGTGAAAACTACTTTTTTTTCTAATTTAAATCCATATTACAAAAGGATCTGTACTTCTTTCCGCATTTCTAGTCACAATTTAAAAATTGAGGAAGGGAGAAATTTAAATATTCCTTTTCAAAATAGAATTTTTTTTGGAAGGGGGAATATTGAAGACGAAATACATTTTCTTCTCAAATGTAAATGATACAGTGATTTAAAAAAAAAATACATCCCAAGATATTACGTTCGTTCTCCTACACAATATAAATTAATGAGTTTGCACAGTCTACTAGTAATAAAACAAATATGCATCTATTATCTATATCATGTATTTAAGAGGAGAACAGAGATAGATAATCTTTTACAATCTTCCACATTGTTCGCTATTATTTTATGATTTTGTGTATGTATACAATGGGTCAATGGCCGAAAGTTGTTGAATAAATTGGAATTGAATAACATTTATTGACAGTACACCAAAATATAACATGAAAGTATATTCTTGGTTTTATCAAAAACAATCTAACATAATTAAAAACCATAAAGGTGACGACGTACTTACGGAATGAAACGCCAGTTGAGAATGAGACCTGACAGGTCTCCGAACGTTCTGTAAGTACGTCATCAATATTATCAGTTGATTAAAAATAACCTTAAAACCTATTACTATCAACACAACCACATTCACCACTACTATCATCACCATTATCCAAGTTACTTTATAATGAAAATTACTAACCTTGAGCAACACGACCATTTCCTCCAAATCTTTGCCATCCCATTTGTCAAACGGAGTAAGAAGTTGAAGACGTTTACTTTTATCATCCACATCCACTTTTACACCCGTCCCATCACTAGGGGGCGCTTGGTATGTGTCCTGACCGGGATCGAAACCCTATAAAATATGCACAAAGTAGGTGGTATTTATCTTGCAATACACATTCAGAAATATCCATTTGCAGACGTGAAATATTATTCAAAGCTGTTGTTTTCTCGCATTACATTTTAAGGCCCTGCAATCATGTCTACATTGTAAGCAAGTTCCAAAATACAAGAAATAAAAATTCAAAATAATGTAATAAGGAAAATAATGTAAAGTAATAAAAAAATGCGCTCCAAGCGGGAGCGAGTGTCTACTGCCTACTACTACTGTACATTACTCTATCTCGAAAAGTACCACCAAGATACAGAGGGCGTCCTTCAAGATGCCATAAAAGGCGTTTGTATCGAATGTGTGTTGCATCTCTATGACGCATGTTCGAGTATCAAATGTATGTTTGTTGAGTTCCGACCTCCATTCGTTTTCCGATAGGGCGCCCTCTACCTTGTAGTAGTAGTAGTAGTACTCATCATGCATTGCCACCGGACTTACTCGCTCTTACAGGGTTTAATAACTGCCAGACGATAACATAGTGGTTATGCCCCCGAGGGAGTAATAGACACAAAAATATAAAATACTGATAAAAAGGGTCAATAGATGTGCGCTTGTATAGCAGATGTTATCAAGTTTATGTACAAAGTATTCGACACGACAGATAAGAAAAACTTTCACAAAAAGTTGATTATAGAATAATGTATAAAAACAGTTATGCTTCAGTAACTTCACACCTATAGGATTGTGCATTAGCAGCGCACAACTTAATCTCACTTGCCGGTCATTACTCATTACTCATTACACATAATACCTAAGATGTGTGGGCATCATCATAGATCACAAGCAAAATTACAAATTAAAGAAGCACATAATTATTGTTATAATACTAACACATTATCTGTCCCTGCAGCAGTCAAACAAAAACAATAGCCATGCACTCGTTACAAGGCAAAACAATGTAACTCAAATTCTTGTCGATTTTGATATAATACTTGGGAGTATATTAAACACTTCTGAATTACCTATGAAAATTTCATGTCTCAACGATAAGTAGTTTCCAAGATAGCACCACCTACCTATCTTTAAACACAAAACATAAAATCTAGTGATTTTCCGTGGTGAAACAACGTAACTGCAAGATTAAAAGGCAAAACAATGTATCTATGATGAAGATACATTGTTTTGCCTCGGAATGGTAGTGCTGCAAAATTTCAGAAGGGTAAGACAATTTATTTTTCTCGGAAAGTGACAATTTAAAGTTACATTGTTTTGCCATGGAACGGCCGCACTGCTGTACAGACAGTATAGACTGTCATATAAACGCAAAGAAATACATAGCAAAATCAAGGTTTAGATGAATGCAAAGGTACCTATTGCATGAAATGAAACAACACAAGAACCATAAATGAAATTGGTTACCTTGGCTGGAAGTTCATCCCCGAATGGACTCTGTAGTTTGAATTTCTTCCCATCAGCACCAGTCAGCTCATCAGTCTCTGGGTTGAAGGACAAATCTCCAGCTAATGCCAGTGCGGTGGTTATCTATAACAATAAATGAATTTACATGTAATTGTCAAGAATAACATGAAGGAAATATAGGGAATCAAGGAAATAGAAGCTTTATTTGTGACACAATGACGCATTTGAAAATACTGTATGTAAAATTTCATTGCTGGTTTTCAAACTTATGAGCTACAGTATACAAGCACACTTCTGACAACCTAGCCAACTTCTAAAACGTTATGTTATTAAAATATAGTTACATTTTTGCTTAGGTTTAGCAAATAGCTGATTTCATTCAAGATCACTTCGAAATCTATCTGTTTAACTTCATATACTTTTCTTTCCGACCACCATCTATTTGTCACGCAAGACTATGTTGTAGTTAGCCGCTGTTGGCAGAATGTGCTTACTGGTAAAAATTCCAGCCCTAGGCTAGCCAGTCTGGCGTACTCACCTCAGGGGAGGCAACAAATGCATGTGTGGCTGGATTAGCATCGTTTCTACCGGTGAAGTTTCTATTGTATGATGTCACAATTGTGTTCTTCTCGCCTTTCTTTACATCTTGTCTGAAAGAAACAATATATAACTTCTTATCATTGTAAATCTCATTACTATATGCTAACTTATATCTGCTTTGCATATATAATGGTATAGTGATGTCATATTTCTCCCATTTATAACAAAAATAGTGGAAACTGAGCCTAAAGCCAGACATAAACAATCAGCCTACCTGTCCCATTGTCCAATGCATGGACCACAAGCATTTGCTAATACCACTGCTCCAGCATCACTTAGAACCTCAGCTTGCCCATCCCGCTCAATGGTGGCACGGATCTGCTCAGATCCTGGAGTCACTGTGAACTTTGACCTGCAAAATTAATTCATTCATTCATTCTTTATTTTGCCTAATCACATAATACAGTAGAACCTCATTTATATGAACCCTCAGATTTACATACGCTTGGTATTGATGATGACATCATCAAAACCCCATAAAATACTCAAAACAAATAGCCCTTTGCAGGGCCACCATAATGTAAAAAGTGAGTTTTTCTTATTATTTTAGTACTGTTAACATGAAACAAACCATTTGCAAAACATCTGCATTCAACAGCAACGTTGATTGTGTCTAATTAACACGCTGTTATAATCTAAAACCACATGGACTGGGCAAGATGAACAACTACCGTTGGTGCACAAAATAATTTCTTTCCTACTTTAGCTTCGTGCGAAAACTCGCCTGATCGAATTTTCTACACAAACTTTGCCCAGTGTAGTGCAAATGGTTTTAGTTTTCCCTACGTATCACATACGTAAGGTCTAAGGTCACCACAAATATAACCAAACCTTGATTTTACGAATTCCCCGGTTCATGTTTATTTATTTATTTATTCTGGTTTATTACTAAAACATCTTGATTTTGCAGCACAGGCTGAATTGCATCAAAATTTACATGGTTAAAACAATACAAAGGGAAACAGAAATGCAAAAAAGATTAAAAACAATTAAAACAATTATTGTACATCCTGTGGTCCCGTACCGTACATAAAATCAAGGTTCTATATGTATGTTCAAATCACATCATTGCTGCTCTGCAAGGCTGATTCTCCACACCATTGCAACATTAGGCCAGTACAGAAAAATTACTCATCTCTACTTTCTGAAGAAAGGAAAGAAGCCTTTTTGGCCATCTATTGAATTTTAGCTACACAAGCCAAAATAGAGGATAAAAATTCCTACTATTTGCCAATAAACAAGACTAAGAGGATTGCGATCCTAAAAAGAAAGTAAATGAGTCATTAAAAGGGAAGAACAACAAAACAAGTTCACTATGAAAACCTTTCACACTACATTAGAGTGTGACACTTGTCACAGAAGTGAATTTAAAGTACAGTCTTACTACATAGCATAATTAATTTGATAATAAAAAAAACTAAATCTGTGGTCTCCATCGATAAAATATCAGTTAAGAGTGCATTGCCTTTCAGAAGACATTAAGCCATGGGTCACGCATGCACTATTAAACTTGACCATGGTGGGGTCACACATACACTGTTAAACTTGAACCTGACTTTCTAACCTAGTGTAAACATAAACTCACTTGAATTTTACACCATGATCTAATGCTTGTTTGGCAATGCTTGCTGCTCGGCTCATATCCTCGTAACTGCTGTTAGTGCAACTACCAATGAGGCCTATTAAACAAAAAATAATGATAATATTAGAAATATTTAAGAATTTCTATAATGTTATAAAAACAACAATAATACACAATACTAACAATGGCAGGTACAGATAATAACAATTAACAGTAATAATACTGACGATCATAAAATAGCAATGACTTCAATAAAAATAATACCAACTATAACAATCATAATACTTCATATCCGTAACAATAATAACAATACTAAAAAACATTAACAATACTGATAATAATTTTATTAGCCACTGCAAAATTGTATAGTTGTCTTTGAACAATATTGATAATAATGGATAGTGAATAACGCTCAAGCGTAAAGTACAATATTGCAAATATTTACACGAAATCATAGGATGTTTCGAGCATAGCCCTTCATCAGATGAAAACAATTAGCTATTTATAAAATAATAATAATCTGCTATTTATATCAGCACCTACACAGAAATCAAGTTTTTACAAGGTGATTATAACTCGAATTTGTTTATCACAATTTTCAGTCAACAGGGATACATACATTTTTTAAATGGAAAGATAAGCCAACATACAAGGGCTACAGGCTACTACATACCAACTCTTATGTCCAATGGCCATCCTTCTTTCTTAGCAATTTGACCAAGTTCTTCAATTGGGTTGGCTAGATCAGGGGTAAATGGTCCGTTTGCATGTGGTTTTAGCTAAAAGTAAAGAGCGCACATAAAAACCACAAAAAAAAAAAAAAAATATGTATTAATATTTCTATGTCTATCAAAATTAAATATAAAAATTCAATCAATTGTAAGAGATCTATTAAACAGACAAAATAATATTAATGATGTTGTACAAGAAGAGTAGCTAAGAATTCTGGGTAAAAGATAATTACCTCATCGAGGTTGATCTCATACACCTCATCGTACTTGGCATCAGAATCGGCAGATAGTAGGTGGCTGAATTCATTGGCCAAGTCTGCGATCTCTGCAAAACAACAAAAACCTCAACAGTATTCAATGCGTTAAATAGAAAGATAATGGAAATACATACATAGACAGTAAAGCATGAAAATTTATTCATAAAATTAATATTCTCTATTGGTCTAAAGAATGGAATAATAAAATTTAATTTCCATATGATTTATAAATTCATTGTGTATTCAACAATAAAGCAAAAAAATCACAGAGCACTGAATGGTAAATCAACTTTAGACTTGGTTTCAACTACAACAAAATTACATTTCTGTCAAAACCAACCAAAAACCATCAATAAAAAAACAATATAATTCAATTTACAGTTACTAATTACTATTATTAAACAATTATTATAATAAAAATGTAGATGATGACTTACCATGTCTCTCTGTTGCTCTGAGGTAGTCTGCCATCCTGTGGTTGAAAGGGAAGACGGAGGTTGTAGCACCAATTTCGGCCCCCATGTTACAAATCGTTCCCATTCCTTGAAAACAAGCAAACAAAAGGACATTGCAATAAAAAAAATATGGACTAATGTAGGATCTGAACTAACAACCGTAAGAATATCTTTTCTGCAGGCTTCGAAACCACCCTATTTAAAAAAGGTTGTTCCAAGCCAAGCAAATAAACACAACTAGATAGCCAAACTACAGAGCATGAGAACATATTCTCACTCTATAAAAGCGGAGTGGCAGTGTTGTGTTAATCCTTGCATTTTGTGCACCCAAAATTTTGAATTTGGACTTGTATGTACTGGTTTTGAATGCACAATATGGTCGTTGCAGTAGAACAGTCAATTACGTGTAGCGAATAGGACTTAGCCATAGTCTCAGTAACCAAAGAATGATCACTTTCTGTAGTTATTATTACCTGTGCAAGAGAGCGAGTCTACACCTGGTCCGAAGTATTCAACAATAGCCCCGGTGCCTCCCTTCACTGTCAGGATTCCTGCTACTTTTAGGATCACATCTGCAAGAAACAACAGTTGGTATTACCGCCTGCATAATTTCATTATCACAGTGTTTACGTCAACCCCTAGGTTGAGACCATCTAGTTAAAAATATGTAATGTTTATGTCTACACCATTCCTATATTTGTTTTAAATAAAAACAAATAAATAAAGAATAAAATACACTGAAGCAACAGGCAATAGTTTCTTAACTGTAAAGACACACTCAAGTACCATTGTGAATGCTTGCAATCAGTAGTTCTGCAGTGGTAGACAGTGCTTGTATGGAATATGTTTTACCTTATAAGGAGGTAGGACAGGAAAAGTTTGTACTTTACCTTTCGGCGACGTCCATCCACTTATTTTGCCAGTCAGCTTAATGCCTATAACCTGTAATAAGCAACAGCAAATTAACAATTTTCATTATAAGAATATTATAGTCTATAAAAAAATCAATGTATTGTGCAAGTACAGTATTTATTTATTTAAGTCTCACCCTTTTTAGCCCTGTTGAGGAGGTCTAGAAACACTCTGCTGATTGATTAGCAGATCTTTTCGGCTGATCGATTAATAGATCATTTTTGTATGGGAGGCCTTTAGGGCCAATACACTCTACTGCCTCTATTATACTGCCCTCAGCGTAGCTTTCAAGATTACGAGAACTTGTCTTTTACACAAAAAAAAGGGCCGGCTATAACTAGCTTATGAGACACTAAACAAAATAAGAGTGCGGAAAAGGCAAATTTTTATATATTACAATTATTTAACATCAAAACATAACACATCAAAACATCTAGACACATAGTACTCTAGCTATACTGTATATAAATCAAATAATTATTCATTGAACAAAGGGCGGATGAACTCCTCGGAGCCAACCATGCTTTAGTTTAAGGAGTAGGTTTTTTAGTTTCATAAAATAACAAACTTTTTTTCAAAATGTCAAACTCAAAGAGCTCAATCACCAAGCGCATAGAGGCTTTTTCGCATAATGCGCTATACAAATCCAACTATTATTATTTATTATTTATTAATATTACATTTCAATATGAAAATTAACAATCACCAGTTCTGATTGATATTAGGTTAGTCATTATCGCAATGTTCATTGATTGAAATTTGTTTAAACCACACTGTGATATCTGGTTATGTGTTAGGTCATGATGAGACACTAATCATATAAGAGAGTGGACAATGTGAAAACGTGTATGTATCTGTTAATATTTATACATTATATATTCAACATTAACACAACAGAAAAATATTATATTCTAGACACATTTTTTTTTGCTATATATAAATCACATAATTATTAATTTATCAGATTTCAATATGCAACTGTGAAATGACAAATAAAAAAACTAGATTATGATTAACAATCACCAACATTTCTTTGATTGAAATTGGTTTACAGTTATTACTTCAATGTTCCTTGATTGAAATTTGTTAATAAATTCACGCTGTGATGCCTGGTTATGTGTTGGGATATGGCGAACTATATTTGTAGGTGTGTGTGTGTGGGTGGGTGTGTTAAACTGTATGGGTGACATTAACTTTCATCTCACCTTAGGGCATTTCAATTCCCAGGGTATGTCTGCCATTACATCCACAGCATCTGCGCCACCTACGCCAATACACAGCCCACCAAGCCCACCGCCATTTGGAGTGTGGGAGTCGGTTCCGATCAGTAAAACACCAGGAAATGCGTAGTTCTCTAGAATAATCTGACAGACAATCAAACAACATTAATTAACAATTATAATATTAATAAATACATTTCTATGGAGGATACTTGATAGAACTATTATTATAAATTTTTAAGATATATATTGGGTCAATTAGAATGAACCAATATAATATAAGCACTGTAATCTGGATAAAATAATGCTTATAAAAAATAATTGAGTATTATCATTTTATACATTTTAAGAAACATTTTAAGAAATATGTAGGCCTATTGTGCACCACATCTCTCTCTAAACTTAGCATTTTCATTGAATTGCATAATACTTTAGTAGTCAAAATAAAAAGAAATTTTTCTGAAGTGGTACATGAAAACAATCTTAGAAAATATTACTTTAGCTCATATCTCCAAGCTATTAAGTTGTATGTGTATCTTGCCTATTAATATATGGCCATGATGATGTTATATCACATCCATATATGGGCATAGTATCATGTCATATCATTTCTACATATGGGCATGGCATCATTATGTCATATCACATCCATATATGTGGCAAAGACAAACCAAACCAGTCACTCGTTGCAATTCGTGTTTCAGAGATAATGGCCAAAACATGCTGGAATGTCAACATTTTTAAAATCTATTTTATTGCACTAAACTAACCTTTACGTATATCTATACATCATGCCATACTGTTATTTTCCCCATTTTCAATGTTAAAAATAACAATTTTTAACAATTTGGTGATGGTCTCTGCCTGAGAAATGCCCGAAATCATAAACTTTGAAGGCTGATTTCTCAAAAATTGTTCTTTAAACAGCTCTATGTTTGAATGCTTGAAACTTCATAAGGAAATGTTGGATTTACATGATTCTTTTATCAATTTATAACTCTCACTTTAATGTATAACCCTGTATTAATAACTGAAAATCAATTTTTGCAACCAAGGACTGGTTTGGCTTGTCTTTGCCACATATAGGCATGGCACCATGCTGTCATATTGCATGTGCATAATGATATCACACCTATATATGGGATTAATGATATATTACATCATGTCCATATATGGGCATGATCATAAAAATATTATATTGTAGGCAGCACCATACACGGGTAGTCAAATTCACGATCTATCCACACCTGGCATAGCTGTCATCCTGCCAATGGCAGTTCTTGAGGTTATTCTAGGTCTCCATGGCTGTCCCATGGCCCACTGTAAAGACCATGAGTGGAGAGCCATGGCAGACCACAAAGGGCTAGCACTGAAGCAGGTAATTTTAAAAAGGGCTTGCACCAAGACGAATAGTAAGCAACTAAAGTTTAATGCTACTTTTACCTGACTTTTTTTATGCTAATTTATGTTCTAATTGGGATCTAAAAGCCACTAAACAGTGATTCAATTCACATTTTGGTAATTCCTGTCCGGCCAATTGAGTGTTGTTTTTTCCTCTCTGCTATTTTGTGTTTGTCAGTTTCATTGTTCTTTGGACCAAATAAATGAAATGAAATCTGAACTGAAATTCGGAATGCGTTTCCAGATGCACTGAAAGCCAGTGTTCCTATTCTTACACACTGATATGATTTTCTGATCGGTTCGGAAGGCCTTCTGATCTGAATATTTGCATTTGGTGTAAATGCAGTTTAACACCAAGGCAAACAACAAAGGCCTTGCTAATGTAATCAATGCTCGTACGTAACCAAATATAATATTATTAAAAATAACATCATTACCTGATGTATGATTCCACTTCCCGGCTTCCAGAATCCCACTCCGTACTTGGCTCCAGCTGTTGCCAAAAAGTTGTACACTTCCTTGTTCAAATCCTACAGAATTTGCAACACAGAAAATAATATAAAACACAATTCTAAATATATCTAATATTACAAAAATATCAATTTCATATATTAATTATATTATATTGTTAATTATTAATTGTTTAATTACTACTTGAAAGATAGCAAACAACATAGTATTTAGTGGCCTGCTGTTTTGATAAAACTTAAAGAATCAAAACTCAGACAAAATGTACAAACTTATATAAAGATATTTCAAGTTCATACCATTTAAGCTCAGACTATGCTAGCATCGACTGAAAGAAATCTAATATTTTTTAGGAACTGACCTTTGCTCTTTGTAAATCCTTAGCGCCACCAATCTGCGCCTCAATCAAATGGTCACAATGGATTGTAGATGGAACAGCAACCTGGGAATGGAGAAGCGACAACAACTGTATTAATGATTCAAATATCTCAAGTTTGTAAATAAATAACAACTAACTTTCACTGCAATGGAGATGTGACACCGCAGTTAGGTGCACATTTTCCAATTCCATAAGGTTCAAATCCTGCAAAAAACTCCATTTCATCAGCCTCATAACAAAGTAAATACATTAAAATATAATGATTTTAACCTTACTTTATGTTCTCATCACACTAACCTTAGGTAGACCGCTTGAGATGAACTGTAACATGGCCATCTGTGCCGTGGCATCCTGCATGGCCACACGGTCAGGCCGCAGTTTCAGGTAACTTTCACCACGTACAATATCCTTAAAAAATATATATATCATTTTAAAACAGATCTGAGGGTATTTTTTACTATCATTATAAATATTAATTACATAATTTAACATTTCATTGGTCAATTTCACTTGGTACATGGTACAATATTTTTACGCACACATGGGCAAAGAAGTACCATCCCCATAATACTGAATTCAACTTCCTTCGGTGTTCAATGATTGGGACTACCTTCACATTAGAAGGCAGTCAATTGGCTCACCTAAAAAATGTTTTATTTGCACATTAACAACTGACATCTATTCAAATTACCTGGCCACTCGGATCTTCTAAATGCCCATACAAAATCTTCTCCGAGAGTGTTAGGGGGCGCTGTAAACGGGTTTGAGCTGTTTTCACATTGGCAGCAAGTTTTTCATAGTCGACATAGTTATTCTGATCAAACCGGCTCATAACAACCTTGGAAGAGAAAATTAATATTAAATTCAAAGTAAAAAAATGAAGTTCAAGGTGACAATATACATTTCTGTTATCTCTCTAATGAGGAAATCTTAATTTCCCTAATGGAAGCATCTAACTTTCACATCCTTTATCCTACTGTCAACATAATCAGAAATGCTTTCACAATGAGTTCATGTTTGGACCTTGAATTTAATAAAAACAAAAATTGTTTGTGATATCCATTTTCTATTTTCTTTGACTATGTAATGATATTTCTGATGATTAATACTGTATACAGTATTGATTATTACATTTTGTGTTTTGTAAACTAGACGCAGGGTTCCCGGAACGCCGCCCTCAGCGGCGTGTGCGAAGCACAACACAGGCTCAGAAGTGGAACGTGAATTTGGATATGGTTTTGTAGTCAGATTTGCGAGAAAAACTTCAGCTACTCGTATTTCTCGACTGAGACGTCAGTAGGAGCTGTAATTTGTATGGCAAGGAGATTGAGCAACCCTTCATTCATATTAAGGGAATTTACGCCCAGAAACTTTGTAGTTATTAATATTTTGGTTATGATANTCCGAAATTTATTCATTCATTAGGCCTACATAATAGTTTAATATTGCTGTACTATATACTCCAACATCACTGGCGCATGGTAACAACCAACTGACTGCAGACCATTTCCGGTCACACATTACTCTCTATAATCCTCTAGTTCCATCACCTCTGGATAATCCCATTGATTAAAGCAGTCAATTTGGTTGGACGAAAAAATATAAACAGTATTCAAACTTATTAGTTTTTTATAGCAAATGTGCAACTACCCATAGAGGGCAGCAAACTCATTCTAGGAACTGTCTGCTACCTTCACAGCAACTGTCAGCTCAGGCTTCCTTTTTAAATGATTCAGGCTTTGTGCATTTAGTGCCTACCATTGTTTGGTGCATGCATCCTCAATCCTACCATCAACATGATCAGAAATGGTTATTTAATGAGTCCATTATTTGGACTTTGAATTTGATAAAAAAAAATGTTTGTGATATCCATTTCTATTTGCTTTGACTGTGTCATGTTATTTTTGATGATTGCCAATATACTGGTTAATAAATTTTCTATTTTGTAAGTGAGATCATCCCATAGATTAAAAGCAATCTGTTTGGTTTATAACAAAAAACGGTATTCAAACTTTAAAGTTGTTTACAGCATTACCAATGTGCAACTGCCCATAGAGGCCAGCAAACTTATTCTAGCCACTGTCTGCTATCTTCACAGCAGCTTTATAGACTTCCTTTTTAAATGAATCAGACAGGCTTTGTGCATTTAGGGCCTACCATTGTTTAAATACTTTTGTTTCCAACAATAATGCTTTGTTTTTCTTCTTTGTAAGTGTGAGGATACTTTCACACCATATGAAATTGAAGTATTTCATCTAAGGTGATTACATGGAATTGTCCATTACTTTTTTTTTTAACAAATACAAAGAATTGAGGGTGGAGTTCTTTTGTTTGGTTGTGAAAGAAACAAACCTAATTTTTTCCAAGATTACATTGAAGATACAGAAATAGGAATGCAAACATTTTAACCACCAAGCCAAAGCTCCACCTACAAATAGCTAATTGAATGATGAACAATTACTTTTGTTAAGAAAGTATAATACATACTCCAAGTATTGAAATACATGCCATCGTGTTGGGATTCAATATTTCGACATTAATTATGTCATCATCAGGAACTTTTGTTAAATGTTATAAATTTGGCAGTTGCTATTGTTACACAAGGTTTAACCAAATTCCTAAATTCTGATTGGATATGGTAGTATGGTAGAATTAGGCAGTGGCGTATCTAGGGGGTGCTCCCCAAAAATCACGGTCAAGTAGCTAAAAATCACCTAAAATCACCATATTTTGCGAATTAGAGCACCTCAACTGATCATCGGGCCCCTCAACTG